CCGGTGGGTAATATTTGAACAAAAAATATAGTTTGTTGGTGTTTTTGTACAAAAAGTTTACTTGGATGGTGTTTGTTGAACATACCAAACTTGGATGATGTTTTTTGAACAATTTTGAAACATAGTTACCTCTTTGAGTCATTTCCTCTTGTTTTTTTTCCTTTACTTATTTTTTACCGGTAATTGTCAGTTACCACAAGGTCAAATTTGAACAAAAAATGTAGTTCATTGGTGTTTTTTGTACAAATTCTTTACTTGGATGGTGTTTTTGCACACACCAAACTTAAATGGTATTTTTTGAACAATTTTGAAACATAGTTACCCATATAAGTCATTTTCCCTATCGACAAAGATGAAACGAGGAAAAAAAAAACAAGTCATGTCAACTAGGAAAAAACGAGTGACTGAAACTTCCAAATTTTAATAAAAAAAAACAAAATAATTTATTTATTTTTATTTTTATACTTATTTTTAGTACTTGTGAGCCCCTAAAAGAGTGTTTGGTATGCTATAGGACAAAATAAAACAATTTTAAGTATCGACAAAGATGGAACTAAGAAAAAAAAACCAAGTCAAATGCTATTGAACTTTCAAATTTTAATAAAAACAAACAAACACAATATTATTTGTTTTTTTTTTTTTTTTTTTTATACTTTTTTTGTACTTCGTGCGTAACAGTGTAAGGTGTTAATGGATGGTGGGGATATGTGAGATCATGGGATGTGTCTGTGGTTGCAATTGGCGATATGTATACATTGACAATGGTGTGAGGATAATAAGTAGGTGCGTGTTATGGTTTATGCGATAGTTAGGCTCGTCAAGCTGGCTGGAACACCGCCCCCTAGCGAGCGCTAGGGGGCTTGCTAAGCCCTTCTAGTTACGTTTTTAGCGAGATGAGAGAGAAAGAAAAGGAAGAATATGATTGGCAAATGAGTTTGTTTCCAAGAAATCGAATTTTGTAGGTTAATTTAATATGAGAAAAAAAGATTTCTGCGTATGAAAAAAGAAAGGATTTCTGCGTCTGGTAGCACAGGATGGGAGGAAGAAGACACATAAATCACCATTTGGCAGATTTGGTCCTTTGATTTTAGCTTTATGGCAGATTCGACCCTAACTTACAATTTCTTTTACAACATAAATTTTCAGAATTAGCACAAACCCCCCTGAAAAATCTTATTGTAATTTTTTTTAATTTAATATGAAATGTTTATGTTTTAAAAAATATAATTGATTTGATATTAATTGTTTTTAAAAAAATAAAATTGATTTAATATTAATTGTTTGTGTTTTAAAAAAAATATAATTTAATTAATTTTGAAAAAGAAAAAAAAACATGTAGTGCTAGAAGTGTTACCACTCCCTATGAAATGTTAAGGTTTAGATGCTAAGATAAAAAGATGATGTAGCAAACAAAAAAGTGACGTGACAAGATGTTAGGAGTGTTACCACTCTCTTTAGCCTAATAGAACCCATGTCTTCACTGATACCTCAATCTAGCCCTGCGAAAATACCCGATACCCGAATTACCCACCCGATTTTTTCGGATATCGGGTAAATCGGGTCGGGTAAATCGGATATCGGGTAAATTTTTTCGGGTAATCGGGTAACCTGATTTTTTTTCAGGTCGGGTAAAGGGTATGTTTGTTGGGTTTCGGGTATACCCAGATTATTTTAAAAATTCTTTTTTTTTTTCGTAGACCTTGTACTCTGTAGCAGATATTTGATTACGCTCAAACTAATTATTATTATTATAAAACATGAATCTCTTTTATTATGACAATATGACACTAGCAATATTAAAAGTAATTGTTTATATATCATCATGTTCTTTAAAACTTAACTGTTTTCTAGATTATAGTTTTTATTGCAACTAACAAACTCATTATCTTGACGAAACTTCAGAACATGGCAAAATTTAAGGCTACAATTATCTTAAACATTTTAAACTTTTAAATTAAGATCTTTAAGTATTTGTTTTTTTAACATCTTATTATATTAGATTAAGTTGTTAAAAAATTACTTGATATCTCATTAGATTAGATCAATGTTCAAAGCTTGAGTAATTTCGTTTATGCCTTGTTTGTTTATATAAACAAGACTAATAAAGCATGACATATTTATTTTCAGGTGAAATTCAAAAAAAAAAATTATATATTTCGGGTAATCCCCGAATTACCCAAACCCGACCCGATACCCGAATTACCCAAACCCGAATTACCCGAATTTAATTTGAGTCGGGTAACGGGTATTTTTTTTAACATGAAAAACCCAAATTATCCGACCCGAATTACCCGAAACCCGAAAAAATTACCCGATCAACACCCCTACCTCAATCAACGATGGAGGTATGGTGATGATCTTTGAGAATTCTAATCTTAGTTTTTCGAGAACTCTAATCTCAACAACTATATTTAGATAAAATCAAATTTAAAATGAAAGGGGGTATAATGGTCTTTTTGTATCAATAATAACCAATCATTATAACTTATTTATAGTGATGATCTTTGATTTTATTTATAAAATCACCAAAACTATCAATACGTCTATAATATTTTTGAGGTAATAATAAAGAAATACATAAAAAATCATATATTTTTAGGTGTATACACATATTCCCGATAACATATATTTATATTTTAGGATGTA